ATATTTTATTTAACTGCAATATATTGATTTAGCATTATTTTATATTCTTTTCTCTTTTTTTTTTGGAGGAACTAGGGATTGAACTCAGGCCCTTGTGCTTGCCAGGGAAGTGCTTATTCTACTGAGCCATCTCCCTGGCCCCTCTTCTGGGATTTTTGGAAGGGCCCTTCTCTTGTCTGCAGGAATTGTCAAATCCACCCTAACCAAAGCTGCATTTGCCCCAGTCTTTGGTGTGGGCCAACTCACATCTAGGGCAGCTGTGATGCTGATCCTGCCACAGTGCACCCTCATCCAGTTTGCCACCTCCCTGTCCAATGGCATGGCTGCTAGGAACACTACATAATTTCCTCTGCCCATGTTTCAGCGTTCATTGCCTCCGCCAGTACTGTGCCTTTCAGGTAGAATTCTCCCATAGGAAGAACTGTTTTTGTAACTTCCCAGGCCATCAGATCTATTTCTCACCTTCCTACCTCAGGGCTTACCTTCACACTCACTGGGTTGGGGTTTGGTGGGGGTGGGGAGGTTTTCCACTGCGCTGGGACAATTAGAGGATTCAGGAGAACTGTCTCATCACCACAGAACTCAACGGAGAGGAGAGCATGTGTCTCATTGTGACCATTGTTCCATGTGCAGGGATTGCCTGACAAAGTGTGCCTGCTGTGACCTTAGTCTATGAAGAACCCAGACTGGCAGAGATTTCTAAGCTGAACTTCTGTCCCTGTCTCCTGCCCATATCTTTTGCCAAATGACTCCTGTGACTAAACAGGATGGTGTCTTCTGGACTTTTTGGAAGACCCTACCCTGTTGTCTTCAGGAGCTGTCAAATCCATCCTAACCAAGCCTGTATCTTTGCCCCAGTCTTTGATTGTGGGCCAACTCATGCCTAGGGCAACTGTGATACTGGTTTTGCCACAGTGCACAGCTTTGGTGAACCCTGGGAACCCCTGATACCCTCACCAGCCTGTCTGGACTTTATTCAGGTGGACTTTATTCAAGAGTCCTAAAAAGCCTCTTTCTAGAAATGGGATTTGTGGTTCCTCTCCAAAACACTGCCTTAGTTCTTGGGAGGGCTGAAGAGCAGGTTATGATGAAAAACGATGTTACTTTTCTTTTCTGTTTGAGGCCCTGTTCCATATCCTTTTCAGTTTCAAAAGTTTTTTGTTTAAAGAAATTTTTAAAAATGATAAGCTAAATCATCTGCATTTCAACAAACATTTTGTGACTAAAGTTTATAAAATCTAGGGGCCGGGGAGATGGCTCAGTGGAATAAGCACTTTCCTGGCAAGTGCAAAGGCCCGAGTTCAATTCCCGGCTAAAAAAAAAAAAAAAAAAAAAAAAAAAACCACTAAAACTTATAAAATCTGGATTTTTACAGCCTTTCTATTCATGTTTGTAGAAATGAGACAAAGTACTAAGTTTTATACTATTAAATAAAACTACTTTTATTGTTGATGCTCAAATCACCAATTTCTAGAGATGATTTCAACCCTTTTTTTAGTGTTTAATAGCAAAGTTTTATAATGTCCCTGCTCTTAGTATGCTTGGTACATTATTCAGAAAAAAGAAAAATTATCAGTACCTTTTATTCTAAGAATCCTTTTTTGAAATCAGAACTAATTGAATAGGGCCTCTTATTAAAAAGGGAAAAATAAATTTTTCACTCAGCTGCTTCTTCATAACATTTTCAAGTGAAATTCCAGGCAACTAAACCTGTACCTCAAATAACTAAACCTTTGGTTGGCTAGAACTAGACACCTGTGTCCGAGGTGTGAACTTTGAAAGATGTAGGATCTGGGTGTCGGTATGATGGGTGTCCTTTGGTCCACTGGAAGACCAAGCTCTCTCATTTATTTGTACCTAAGTGAACTTCATGGTAAAACCAATCAGAAGAAGCAAGGAAGGTCACTATATGTTGGGTAACAATAGCAAAGAAGAAGCCATTACAATACCAGATTTTCAAATGATATTACAAAGCTACAATGATTAAAACTGGATGATGAGTGATCCTGGTTTAACAGTGTGTGATAACAGACTAAGTCCATCCCTTAAAAGTTCTGGAAAAAAATAGTGAGATAAAATAAAACAGTTCTGGCTGTATCTGAATGGATTTACAGAAAACAAAAGACCTACCCTGGGTGTGAGTGGCACCAATCCATAGGCTCTTAGTGTGGATGGAATAAAAAGGAAAAGAAAGCACAAAGGCTCCTTGCACCCTGCCTGCCACACCATGAATTGTTACTCCTCTGCCTTAGAACCAGATGGCTATGGGCTAAAATCCCTGTGAGCCAAATAAACCTTTCCTTTAACTGGGTGTCGGATATTTTCTCTCAGCAACACTAATTTACACTTGTACATCAATTTAGATGTTTTCCCTTTCTCCCATTCTAACCCACCTAAATTTTGACCCAGTCTCTTGCAAACATTCTAGTAACAAGAGGGCTGGCTAGAAGGGAAGCAGTCCTGGAGCGACCCTATCTACTAGGTGCTTGGGTCGCCAGAGAAGGTAATGTCGTGGCCCCTGCGATGTTAAAAGCACCTATTTGCAGCTATACCTCTGAACTCCCAAGGACTTAGCTGAAAATGAGAAGTCGGTAGAGGTCAGCACCTGGAAGACAGAGGTCAACGGAATCCCGCTGCAGCAGGGAGGTAAAGAATGGCGAGGCGGGTGGGGAACCAAGCCGAGAAAACACAACGGGCAAAGAGATGAACTAGGGAAAAAAAGGATTAATCAGAAAGTCTGGCGAGCTTCTAAGCAGAGTCTTCCTCGCTAGCCGACCTGTTTCAGGTTGGGCTACAGAAAGAAACCTGGACTATTTCGCTTCCTGCTTCACAAGACCGAATCCTACACAGCTGAACACCCGGCTGCCGGCTAACACCAGCCGGACGAATTCAGGCCGCGGAAGACGCGGCCCTCCCCCAGCCAATCAAATCGCTCGCTCCTGGTCGCGTTTCTGATGACATAAGAAATAAGCGTCTAGACCCGCCTCTCGCTGCACGCGTTTCCGCTTTCCTTCCCCGTACTTCCGGGCCCCGTGGCTTTTGGTTGTTTAGGCGCGAATTCCTGAGTTCGACTCTCAGACGCATTTGAGAAGATTGAGAGGTAAATGTTGAAAGCGCTTAACGTGCTGGATGGGTTAGAGGAGTTTTGAGGACGACGCGATTTTGGCAAGCTCCGTGGTCAGTATTTGAGGAGCGTTAGGTGATTTTCAAGGGGTCGTGACTGATGTCCAGCCACTTCTGCCACTCAGGAGCGCAGCTTGAAGCACTTGATTTTCCAAGAGGGAGGGAAACCGCGTCTACTCCTTGCCCCGTCCTTGTCCCCATTTCTGAAGCACTCAGCCCGTATGGGGCAAAGCGCAGCCTTACAGATTAGTGTCTCTGTGTGTTCGCCAGAAAAGATCCTGTTCACCCCCTTGCCCACTTGGGAGTCTAGATTGAGATACTTGATTTCCACGAGTTCCGGCAGGCCGGCAAGGAAATCAGAACAGCACGGGGTGCCCCCCTCGTTTGTAAAATACGTAGTCGCCCACACACTACTATTGCAACTGACCTTATAAACATTAAAATTATCGCTGCGTGTTTCCTCGTCCCGAAATCAGTTTTCTGCGAGCTGCCTTTCCTTTGTTACCCAGCTTTCGTTCATTTCTCTTAACTATTTTATTGCTCTAGCTAAATAATAAAAAAAAAAAATAATTCAAATAAGGTTTTCTCTGAGAGTAGTGTCTATTTCCACACGTATGCACAAGGCAAGTTAAGATATTCACTTTTCCCGGGGTTTAAGAACAGTATTTATCACATTGTATGTAATCGTTTTTCATGTTTGTCAGCCCAGGCTCCGGTTTCCAGGGGATCAAGACCAGAACAAAATGTGTGCTCGTTTTAATATACGTTAGAACTGTCCTAACGGTAATAGGAATAATGGCTTATCAGCCACAGTTGATACTTTTGTAATGTATTATTAGAGCCAGGTGTGGTGGTGCGCGTAATCTCAATGTGATTTTTGATGGCGAGGCTTCGTTAGAATAGGTGGGCGTGGGCAGGCTTATATGAGAACTTTCTATACCTTCTGCTCAGTGTCACTGTAAACCTAAAACTTATTACCAGAAAAATGAGCTTCCAAAGACAAGGCCATTGTATATGGTGTTGCACGTAAGATTGTTTTGTCAAATTACTGTTGAAACATTTATTATTAATTTCTGCAATTAAAAGAATTATACCAGTTTTTGAATCACATTGCAAATAGCACTGAGCTACATGTTATTGAATGAAGAGTATCAAGAGAAAATGATTCACAGAACCCAACTATGAGCTTTTTATGTGAGAGGCCATAGAGCCCACAGACTGAAAGGAAATATAGTGGTTTGGAAGGCCCTGGGAAGAACATGATCAGATGGGTTAAGAAGAGATAGGAAAGAAAGCAGCTCAGATAGAGTACCATGTGTAAAGTTACTCTTAAGTGTGTTCAAGAAATTATCTGGTCTGTGTAGAGAAGGAAATTCAACTAAGGAGTAGAAGAGAAGTAAGGGAGGTGAGGCGAGTCTAGATTGTTGAAGACTAAAGGAGTTTGCATGTTATGGTTTTTTCATGCAGTGTCAGTTGGAGCATATTGACTTAGGTACAAGTCAAGAACTGGTATGTTGTTGTGGGCTACTGGCTGAGAGAGCTCACATAGCGCTTTTGCCTGGGTGTGTAGATTTTCTCCATGTTGGCTTTCCAGGTATGGTAGTGACTGGGCAAGAAATGTGAAAGCTATGCAAATAAAAGTTACAAAAAAAAAATAAAAGCTATACAAATGAAAGTTGTTTTTTGAGAATTCATTCATCTTCATACTTATTAGAGGAATGAAATCTTATACTGTTGAGAGAGCCAATTATTTGTTTTAAAATATGTTAAAATGTTGCTAGCGGTGGTGGCACATCCCTGTAATCCCAGCGCTTGGAAGGCTAAGGCAGAGATATTGCCATAAATTGGAGGCCAGCCTGGGCTCCATCGTGAGCTCAATGCAAGCTTGGGCTACCTATCCTCCAAATTCTCATTTATCCTTAAAAAGGAGAATTTGGAGCAATTAAAGATAGTCTTTCTAATAAAACATTGTAAAAGGTTTTATTGTTTATTTTTCTGTGTTCTTTTCATCTTTACAGAGTTTTTTAAAAAAAGCAGCATAATTGTACTATTTAGATCAAGATGCCTAATAAAGCAAAAGCTTCCAAGGAAAAGTCTCAACAATTAAAAAAAAGTTCAAAAAGAAAAATTGATGATGAAGTGCCCTTGTCAGAGAAAGAGGTAATGGAAATAACAAATGTATCACTTAAAGCTCTTATTTAGAAATGGTGTTTATTACATAGATGTGAAGACCAAGGGTCAGTTTCACTACAAACTATAGAAATTCGTATTATAGTCTCAGTTTTGTAACACAAGTTCTTAGATAAAAATTGTTATGTACTTTAATTTCTAAAGTGAAGAATTGGCCATAAAATTCTTTGAGGAGGAAGAGGTCATGGGGCATGCTATGATGTTAAATGGAAGAGTCAGGAATGAAGTGTACAAATTTGGATCACGTCTGTTGAAAGAGAGAATCTGTTGGTAGAGATTTCTATTAACAAAAAAGCATAGTTTGTGAAGAATTAATTCTTGTTAGCTTAATTTTTCCTCACCTCATAAAACAGTAAATGAACTAATCCAAACATTTTTTTAGGTTTCACCCTGTTCTTTAGGCAATACATATATTTGTTTTGCAGGTAAAATTCGTAACACTATTTCCCAGGCAAAGTGAATACTGATTTATTTAAAACACTATTTGACACTATATGAAATTGTTGTCACTGCCATCTACGAATTACTGTAGTATATTTTCTGCCTGTGATAAATATACGCCATTTTCTGTATAAGTGACAATATACTATTTTTCTATCTACCAGAAGGTATAGTAATATGCTTTGAAATACATGACAAAACTATTGCAAAAATGATACATTTTTATGTGATGTTTCATTCTCTCTGTGGGTGTCTTCTTTCTAGGTTAGAAGCACAATAAAAAGAAGTAAAAATCATCCAAAACATATGTCTTCTGAAGGTATTTCTTTTCCTTATCTTGTCAAATGTGTATCTTTCTTGGGATATATTCCTAAAAAGTTTTTTAGCATCTTTTTTTATGAATTCTGCCCAAAATAGTAATAAACAGTCACATACACATTTTAATAAGATAGTTATTTTTGGCAACTAAAATTTTCCTCAATACTTTTAGCAAAATTTGGTGAAGTCTTCTGCGCTAACTTGATAGGAACTAGAGAAAATCAAAATGTCTCATAATCTAAATTATTATGTGTGGAGGAAAAAAAAATTATTATGTGCAGGCCAGCCAAATAGCTCAGCGGATTAAAGCACCTGCTTAGGCAGATGCAGCAGCTGGGGTTCGATCCCTCGCATGCTATGCCAGCCCCCCCCTGGATCACTCTGAGACTGCAGTTGAGACTGGGCATGGTAGTGCATGCCTGTAATCCCAGCACTTGGGAGCCTGAAAACAGGAGTCCGATCTACATAGTGAGATGTTGTAGACCCTGTAGACCCTTACTAAAAAATACAAAATAAATAAAATAAATTATTATGTGAAGACAAATGTACTTACTTTCCTCCAAGACAGTATGCTTTCTGTACTGCCACTTCTGTGTAGATAAATTTGGAGCCACTGCCTAAGACTGTTTGGAGTCAATTAATTTGTATTTGTGTTTCCTTAAACATCACATACTCATGGGAGGATTCCCTACCTCTCTTCTCCCAAGGCTACGCTTTGGTTTTACACTTCAGTACAGCACAGTACTTTATTTTATAATGCTCTGCACATGTGGAATTTGCTTCATAGCCCTTCTTTCCAAAGCTGTTCTCTAGGAGAGACAATAATGTATGTCCCTTATAAGTAGTACAGCATACAGCATAGCTGACATTGAATATTTTTATGGTTTGATTAGTCTGCTTTTTTTTTTTCAGTTGCCATCTAATATTTGGTAGAAACAGTATTGCCATCTTCTCAAGCCCTTTGCTTCAAGTCATTTCTGAGACTAAAACTTTGAATAATTATAGGTTGGCTTTTCATCTAAAATTGCTTGAGGCTTATATTGCAGTATCACTTATTGCAATTTCAGTTAACAACAGTGGGCAGCAAATTCATATTCAACACCTAGCATCTTAGAGCTCTGCATTAACAAATAAATTAAAAAGTTTATAAACCTTTATAGTATTTTGTTTTTATAATTCTTTTTAAATTAATGGAAACATTAATTTAAAAAATTAAAGTAAAAACATGCAAATTTCTAAACTAATCACAGTATCTTCTATCACCAATAACAGGGCAAACAAATATTAATCTAAAACAGATAAAGATAGCATCCAACAAGAGAAAAACCTGGCAACCTCTTTCAAAGAGTGTGAGGGTACATTTGCAGACTATGATGGAAACAGTGATAATGTGAGTATAGCATTTGTCTTTTTCATTCTTTGGTTCCTCCTTTTTTTTCCAGTAGGCATTTTTGTAAGTATTACTATGTATTTTGAGGTTTTTTTTTCTATTTCAGAAGATCTATTTAATGTTTTGTGATAGCCTTACTGTTCAACAAAAATATCTTTAATTTTTAGAAATGTGCATTTCCACCAGTGAAATAAAATATTTATGGCTAAATAAGCGGTGTATAAAAAATTTTAATTTATTTTGTGAGTAAGAATTTTTTTGGAAGAAGTTGAGTCCAGAGTGACTTTCAATGTAAAAGCTACCATACTATAGGAGATATAACAAAAACAAGGTAGAATTCTGCTTTAGAGCTGAACTCTAACAGATCCATGTGATCTTAACATATTTTTATTGTACTGCTATTTAAAATATATTTCAGGGCCAGGGAGATGACTCAGTGGAATAAGTGCTTCCTTGGCAATCACAAGGGCCTGAGTTCAATCCCTGGTTCCGCAAAAAAAAATAATAATAAAATAAAATATATCTCATATAAGAGGAAAGTAGTTAACTGCCTGCCTATCAGGAAAGAATATTTGAAAGAATTCAGGCAGAAACGGTACACAAATTATATTACTCATGTTTTAAACTAATGCTTAATTTCTTTTTTAGAGCAATTTTGAGTAATACTAAAGAAAAAGAACAAATTCAGAATCATCTCAACTGTCTGAAGAAAAGGTAAGATACCTGTTAATTAAAAGTATTAAAACGGGCTGGTGAGATGGCTCAGTGGTCTAGAGCACCTACTTAGAACAAGCTTAGCAAAGCACAGGGACTGCAGTTCAATCCCCCAGCACCACATGCCAGCCAGCCCCACCCCCTGGTGGGCTGAGCTGGCCACACACACACACACACACACACTCACACAAAAATAAATAAATAAATAAATAAAAATTTTTAAAAAAAAAAGTATTAAAACATTCTTTTTAAAATCTGATTGTTCTTTTTTTGCTGAAACGTTATTTGTAAAAGATGTTTCTAAGTGAGTAACTTACATGTGTGGTTTCTAAACTCCTGCAACAGTGTATTACTGAGACAGCCCAAAGTGTCAAAATTTGTACAAAAGAATCTGAAATTCACAATTTATTGTTAATTTTACTATTCAGTGTAGGGGTTGGGGAGATGGCTCAGTGGAGTAAGCACTTCCCTGGCAAGCGCAAGGGCCTGAATTCAAGCCCCAGTTCCGCAAAAAAATAAAAATAAAAAAATTTCACTATTCAGTGTTGGTATTTCAAAAATATTTCAATTTTATTTCCCTTAAGCTTTGTTTTTAACCAGCTTGAAGCTAACAGTTCACTGCCCTTAGCCAATGTGATATTCTGTTTTTGTGCCTTTCAGTTCATATTTGTAGTACATTAGCACAAGCAGCAGTAGAATTTTCTAAGGTATTGCTGCCCTTCACCTCATTTCAGCTAACAGATGTTTCTTTTCAAGTGGTTTTTTTTGTGTGTTTTTTTTTAAAGCACACCAAAGCCCATAATTTTTAATGCTCAGTTTTTCTAGTATTTCCATAACATTTTCCTTTCATATAAGAATGATTTACCTCTGTTTTGGGTTTGTCTAGAAATGTTCATGACCTGGTACTTGTTTCTGGGAAGTGATTTGAGCACAAATTTGCTTTCCATTTTCTTTAAGTATTTTTCTTGTGGGCTGGGGAGATAGCTCAGTAGAATAAGTGCTTGCCTGGCAAGTTCAAGGTCATGAGTTCAATCCCCAGTACAGCCAAAAAAAAAAAAAAAACAGTATTTTTCTTAACCTTAGTAGCAGTATAGGGAGGGAAGGATAGGTGAATGTGCTAGATCTTCAACATTGTGACAAAATACCTGAGAAAATCAACCTACAGGAGGTTTGAAAGGCTTAGTCCGTGGCACAAGGACTTCTGTGCCTAGGGTAAGGCAGTCTGTGATGGCAAAAGCATATGCTAGAAAAAAGCTGTTTACATTGTCGTAGACAGGGAGCAAAGAGCAAGGCCTGGAACAAGAAGTGGCCTTAAAGGATTTGGCTACAAGGACCTACTTCCTCCAGCTGGCCCTATATCCAGTGTTTCCATCACCTCCGAGCAGTATACACTAGTAGTAACTACTCAGGGCATGTCTTTATTAGAGTTTAGGAGACTCTTGGAAATCTCATGATTATTTAGAACATTTGGAACAGTAAATGGCTCTTCCATATAATTGAGTTAATGAAAACGAAAGCAGATTTCAGGATTGAACTCAGGGCGTTGCATATGCAAAGTAAGCACTCTCCCACTGAGCTACATAGTCAGCCCTAGCACCTTTATTTTATTTTAAAAAAGTAAAACTTACCTTTCTTAGGAAGCTTTATATAAATAGACTGCTTATTTTGATAGGTTAATGGTGATTTTCTGAATAATTGAAGTTCATCTTCACAGTTTACTGAGAATTATGATTTGTAGGACTTATGCTGTTTTGTTTATAGAAAATTAAGATTTTGAGGGGCTGAGGAGATGGCTCAATAGAATAAGCGCTTCCCTGGTAAGCACAAGAGTCTGAGTTCAATACCTGGTTCCGCCAAAAAAAATAAAGAAAGAAAATTAAGATTTTGAACATGATCACAGAAAGGTAATTCTTGGGCCCAATATTGTTTTGATGCTTTTAAATCTTTAGTACTCATTGAGTGTCTTTATTCTGAAATGCTTGGGACCAGGAATGATTGAGATTTGAGATTGGAGGTAGGGGAGTGTTTGCATATATGCAGTGAGTGATCTTAGAAATGGGAGCCAAACCTAGACATAAAATTCATCTATGTGGGGCTGGGGTCATAGCTAGCAGCAGTGCACCTGCCTGGCCAGCACCAAGTCCTGAGTTTGATTCCTGATACCAAAACACAAAAAAATTCATTTGTACAACATACATACCTTACACACATAGTCTGATAATGTCATACAATATTTTTACTAACAATATAGATAAATCAAAGTTTATGATAATTGGCTTTTCTACTTGTGTTATGTTAGCACCCAAAGAATTTCAGATTTTGGAGTGCTTTGTATTTTTTTGGATTAAATGTTTGACTTACAGAATTTTTTTTTTAATTTTTTTTAATTTATTTTATTTATTTATTTTACATTTATTTTGTGTGTGTGTGTGTGTGTGGCCAGCTCAGCCCACCAGGGGGCGGGGCTGGCTGGCATGTGGTGCTGGGGGATTGAACTGCGGTCCCTGTGCTTTGCCAAGCTTGTTCTAAGTAGGTGCTTTAGACCACTGAGCCATCTCTCCAGCCCCTGACTTACAGAATTTTTAGAACACAAAAATTGCTGGTATCAGGTAGAAGCAACCAAACTTAATTTTTCCTCCTTGATTTCTTCCTTATAAAATTTAAGAATCAAATCTGACAAAGCTATTGCTCCTGCTAGGTGTGAGGATAGAAAAAGATCAGTTTCTAATAGTGATTTAATCAAGCTTTATTTGTAGGAGGGATTTTTTTGATTAGAATATTGAATATCATTTATGTTGCTACTAGTTTAGAGAAAATCATTCTAATCTTAGGGTTATAGTTTCTTAAACTTCAGGGAACTTGCTGTTCTTTAAAAACATTTAGATAAGGGTGGAGGAGATGGCTCAGTAGAAGAAGCACTTCCCCAGCAACCACAAGGCCTGAGTTCAATCCCCATTCTGCCAAAAAAAAAAATTAAAATATTTACATGAACTAGTGTAGACATTTGGTTTTATTGCTTGCATTCTTAAGTGTTTAAGAGTTGTGTTTAAGACTCCAGACCAGTGTTCTGCCTCTTAGCTAACAGTCTACAACAAGTAACAGATTTATGTCTGTAGTATTCTGCGGAATACATTTAGATGATACAGAAATTTTAATTTTAAAACGTATATGTTAAATTGTTACAATAAATAAATAAAATTGTTACAGGCCTGTGATATGAGGTAATAAATAAATGAGTAAGTTAAATGATGATTTATGAGTGCTTTTTAGGAGAGAGGCCTACTGACAAAGCCACTGTTGAGGAGAGGGGGAAAAACTTTTTAAAAAGTATCATTATAATAAAATGTAAAATAATCTTGTTTTCTTCTATTCTGAAGGTTGCTACAAGTGTGTGAAACCCTGAAAGCCCCTCCCCAAAAACTGAAATTTTTAACTGATGTGTCAAGTGTACTGAGAATTGAAAGAGCAGAGGCCAGAGCTAATGAAGAAGGACTGACATTATTACAGGTATAAAATTTGAAAAAGGAATCCATAGAAAGTTGGGGATGGGGAGACCAAAGTTTCTTAAATTATGATATTATTCAAGGAATAAATACTAGATATTGAACTAGATTTCTTATTACATTATTACTGTGTTGTTAAGCAAAGTAAAAACTGCCTAAATATTGAACTGCTGAGGAATTGAAGGGCTTCTGATAAATGGAAAAGTAGCAATCTTATTTTTTTTCATATTTTGGCTAAATATTTACCATCACTAAATACTTCTAGGGGCCAAGGAGATGGCTCAGTAGAATAAGTGCAGGGTCTGAGTTCAGTCCCCGGTTCCGCCAAAAATAAAATAAAATGGAATAAAAATAAATACTTTTAATATTCTTTTTAAATATTCTTAATATTTTAATAGCACTAAATGCTATGTAATTTCAAAACATTAGTTATGTTCTGTATATAGTAAGAAGACACTGAAAAAGTTGCAAACAGGCAAGGATAATTCAGACTTTGAGCCCTTGAGAGTGAATTAGTTTTACATGAAAGTATCATCTGAAGTGTGTATTTGACCTGGCAACCAGCCTGGGAAGAATCCAGGACTCTGTAACAGGCCCTTGCCAGAGGAAGCCAGGTGACTTGCCCCTCCTCCTGCACCCCTTAGATCAATGCCTGTCACCATGCACTCAAATCAAAATGGATAAAATATTAAAACAGAAACACCAACTCTACTGGAAGAGAAAAGTAGGTAGAAATCTTGATGACATGGATAGGCAGAGACTTCATGCAAAACTAGGACCATACAGGAAATACTACAAAGAATCCTATGGGATCTCTCCTTATTAAAAAGCTTCTGCACAGCAAAAGGAAAAATCAACAATGAAAAGACAACCCACAGCATAGGAGAAAATTTTAGCCAGTTGTTCCTCAAAGGACTTATGCCTAGAACATATAAAAGAATAAAAAAAAAAACCCAATAACAAGTACTGGTAGAGCTCTGGGGATAAAGGAACCCTTTTCCACTGTTGGTGGGACTGTAGACTGGTGAAACCACTCTGAAAATTAGTGTGGAGATTCCTTAAAAAAGTAGAATTAGAGGTACCTTGTGACCCAGCTATTTTCTGTCATGGGTCACTCAGCATAGGAACCAGATAGACCAGATTGAAATTTGAATACAGCCTTTTATTTATTGAGCTCAGGATGGACACCTATTTCTCCGTGCAAGGGGTTTTAAGCCAGAATTACATGCTGTTTGGTAAGCAAATTTGTTACCTAACACAGAACAGCAAAAACCCACATTCATTTGACACAGCTGCAAACTGTTTGCAACTAAGGGGTCTTTCACAGTTTAGTGATGTTGTTACAAGGTACATCTTAAGCTATGTTTACAGGAAGTACGGAGGGAGTTTGTTTCAGCTAGCTTCCCTGACAAGAAACAGTTACTCATTGCTGAACAGCCTTGAGCAGAGAGCAAGAGTACATTCCTTAGAGTAGATAACAGGAAGCATAAGGGTCCTCCTCGTAATTTCCCAGAGCTGTAGCACAAAATTCAGTTAACCCATTACATTCCCCTCCTGGGGATCTTCCCAGAAGAATTAAAAATGTATCACAGCAATGTGTGTATATTCCTGCTTATAACAGCACAATTTATAATAGCTAGATCTTGGAAATAACCCAGATGTCAGTCAACTGACGAGTGGATAAAAAAGATGTAGGGGGACCAAGCAGAGAGCTCAGCAGTCTAAAATGCCTGTTTAAGCAGGCTTATGGGTGTAGGGATCCCTTGGTCTCACCGTGATCATCTCTACCTGGGGAGAAATGGCAGCAGGAGTGAGAAAAGATAGACAATAATACAAATGCTGGGCTAGGTGGTCCCTGGTCTGTCTGATAGGCAAGACTAACATACTGTACAACAAAAGCTGTGTTTATTCTTCTGCAAAGTTAGTAACATGTGACATAAGACACAAGGTTGTGTAGTGAGTAGTAGCTGACCTTAACCAGACAGGATGTTTATCTCAGGACTGAGGTAGCTTATTTGCTTTAGGCACTGAGACCTAGTCCCACCTACACACAGTTGATCAATTTCCTAGCTTCCAGGGCTCCCAACATATCCCCGTTTTTTGTTTTGTTTTGTCAGAGATGGGTGTTCCACTGCAGCTAGAGAAACTGTATTTTGAGAAATCTTTAAAGTTGATGCCAGTCCAAAGATTGTAGGTACTTGAATTCAGCAATATAACCTTATATAGTCCCATAGTCCATAATAGTAGTGAGTTATCAGCACACTGGCATTTGTCAGAAGTTGTTTACTTGAGCATTTTACAGCTCAGCAAATTAATATGGCATTACTTATACACCTCGTGGTTATACTGTTCTGCTAGATGGTTAAGACCAAGGTAAAGCAAGATGTATATAACTAAAAATGTAACTTTTGCTATCTGACAAGGTCAATCAAATCCTCTCAAGATTTACCTTGAAACCATGTACAGCACCTTGTAGATATCCTCTCAGTATCAGACATCTGGATGACTGCTTCACCAATTTGCTCTTTGTGAAAGCCTGAGAGGGTTTTTTTCCTCTCTAGTTGACTCCTTAGGCACACCATACATTGTCAGTCACTTTCCTCTGTGACCCTATAATCTCCTTGATCAGAGAATTTGGGACACAACTGAGTTATAGGATTTCACAGCAGAGATTTTCTTATGTCCTGAGTCTTCACTGACATTGAAGGGCTATGGCCAAAATATTGGCTATCATTATAGCCCATCTGTCTCTTTCCTTTTTGGTCTGCAAACTTTAGTTGTTAAACATCCAGAAGTGAAATTTAATAACATTATTGCCCTGTACAGAGGCAGTTAAGCTTAACATTGCTATCTGTCTGAATATCAAATATCTTAGACATAAAATGGAACTGTTATTTTCCAACAACCTATGGATATTCTAATATGTAAATCCTTATAGGATGTTAAAAAACAATTACACGTTTTTACATAGAAATTTCTTTTTTTTGTATCTTAGGGAAGGCTCTACAGAGGGTGTACAGGGTCTCATTATAGATCGGACTCATAGTGATCCTCCTGTTTGTAGCCTCCCAAGAGCTGGGATTACAGGCGCATACCACCATGCCCAGTCTCAGTTGCTGTCAGCATGTCCCAGGGGCAGGCCTGGGGATTGAACCCCTGGCCCCTGTGCCTGCTTGCAGGTGCTTTAATCTGCTGAGCTATTTGGCCGTCCCTTACACAAAAGTTTAGAAAACAAACCATGTACAACATTGTAGCTGGACAATCCTATGATATTTTGTGACATGCTTACATTTTCGTTTTGATATAACTCTTTTAGCCAGTCTTCTCTAATACATAAGAATTTTTCACTTATCTAATTATCCTTACAAGCCCCCCACTCCGTTTGGCTAGGAGTTTGAAAAAAAATCACAATAAGCAATCTTTGTTTAACATTTTAGAAGACCTATACACTTGGAATCATGAATACACTTAAGACACCATGAGATTAACAATGAGTTACCACACACATATGCAAACCTTTGCTTCTTAATTTAGTTGAATACCAAAACTTTTTTTAAGAGAAAACCCAACTGTAATTTTTCTGAAAGACTTTATCTTTAAACCAATGACCAATTTATTGAGGTGTCTCCTTAGAGACTATTGAGATGTTTGGGAATTCCTCATTAATGAACAAAATGGTTGGGCACACCTCCTATTCATTAATAGGACTCCTCTCTGAATTAGATTTCTCCCTACTCTTAAGGAATTTTTGCTTAATTAGTTTAAACATTTTGATAAACTGTATAAACTGATTTTGATATGACTTAGATCAATTAGTAACTTACGAAAAGCTATACTCCAAATTGTATGAATAAATGTCCAAAAAAGGGGGGAGGGCAGCTGTTCACAAAATGACACACATATAGACATACATGTAAACAGCCATCTTTACAAAACTATGAGTACACTCAACTATATATTGCTGGCCAGATTAACTTATAGTAACTCTTGCAATTTTTTAATAATTATAAATAAAGGGGCTGGTGAGATGGCTCAGTGGTCTAAAACACCTACTTAGAACAAACTAAGCTAAGCAAAGCACAGGGACGGCGGTTCAATCCCCCAGCACCACATGCCAGCCAGCCCCACCCCCTGGTGGGCTGAAGTGGCCACACACACACACACACACACACACAAAATAAATAAATAAATGAATATTTTTTTTAAAAAAAAGTAAATTACTTATAAAAAATAATAATAATTATAAATAGACTAGTCAGATTTTGTTATTTGTCAATAAGCAGAGATCTCTTGGCAGAAAATTTTGGAAGGAATAAAGTCTTTAATATGTATATTTTGTATTTTAGCCTTAATACTAGTAAAATTTGGCTCAGTTACCTTTATATATTTTACCAACTATTTAGACCTTACATTTCCATTTTGTCAGTTCCTTCAGTAGGCCCAGATTGGATCTGGCCTCATCTCTCTTTTTTTTTTTTTTATTTATTTGAGAGAGAGAGAGAGAGAGAGAGAGAGAGAGAGAGAGAGAGAGGTGTGTGTGTGTGGCCAGCTCAGCCCACCAGGGGGCGGGGCTGGCTGGCATGTGGTGCTGGGGATCGAACCGCGGTCCCTGATGCTTTGCCAAGCTTGTTCCAAATAGGTGCTTTAGACCACTGAGCCATCTCTCCAGCCCCAGGCCTCATCTCTCTTAACTACTTCTCCAGGTCTGGCTCATGGTATAACTTGACAGCACGCTCTGGTACCCAAATAGGTCATTCAGCATTCTCTGGAAAAATACAAGCGTATCCTCTCCCCCAGGTTAGTAGTGGACTGGGTCCCTTCCTTTGCCTAGTATGGAAATCTCTCGAAAGGACCCTTCCTATCCTTTTTACTCTTATTTGATGAAATTGTCTTTCTGCTGCTGTACTTCCATTTTTTTGTACAATTTTAAATGTTAAGAATGTATACTGCCAAGTGAAGTCTATTTTGAGGTGTGAATTGTGTAAGGAATGATCTCTGTTTATT